ACGAGGCGTTCTGGGGCAGCATAGACAGGTCTTTTCTGTGTTAGAGTTTTACTCGCTACAGGGTGTACTTTGAGGGTTTGTGACTCTGCAGACCGTTTACATGCATAAAAACCTTCATAACACACAAGGGGACGGGTAATTAGACCCTCCAGAAAAACGCGGGCAAAAATCCTTGATTATGCGATTAAACATGCAGGGTTTTTATGTGATTTTATCCGGTGGAATTGCGAAATATGCGGAAAGTTGCGAAATATGCTAAATATGCGGGGAAAAAGAATAACAATTTTTTTAAATATTGAGCTGTCTTATTTATTCTCTCTCACACACAACCTGCCACTAACGTTAAACCCCTTTACTATTCAATTAAACAAATTCAATGTTTATTTATTGTAAAAGCAATTGGGCTATTTCAATCTCACACACACACACACACACACCCCCGCCCCCCACACACACACTTCTCCGCCTCATTCTGTTTTCATTTACTCGTTCGTTATCTGACCAGCTTCAATCTTGTAGGCTACTCACCTCGTTTCTTGTAGCCCTCGAAAGGGTTTTGGAGGTTGATGCCTCGGTGAACGTGCGTTGTTTGGCTTTCTTGTCCGCTTTCTTGTTCATGTTTGAATGAATCAAAGTGGGTCGTCACCGTCGATTTTCTCTTATGCTCCAACACACAGTTGCACGGGGTGCAGAATAGTTTCCCCCCACTTTTTGCCCGGTCTTTAGTAGAAATGTTCGTCGGTAAATGAGATGGATTAGATTTTTTCATCTTGGTGTGTTCTCTATCGTGTGAGCTCCACACGTTCACTCTATACAGTGTTTACATTCGTCAATACGAGTTAACTTTTTTTTTTCTCAACTTTGTGTGGAAAAATGCGGGGATTATGCGGCTTTTTGATAAATATGCGGCCTTTTAAAAATCTGCGCCATTTTGCTGATTATGCGGTAAATTCTGCGATCGCAGAATCGCGTTTTTCTGGAGGGTCTAGGTAATAACCGGAAAAGCATGACATGGGACCTTTAATTATATGTTCTTAGCTCAGAAGTAGACATTTTAAAACGATGAAAGCATAATTGAGAAATATATGCTTTAAAATAGATGTGACCTATTTTATTAGCATGCATGCAGTGTGACCATGTTGTCAAAGTGTTGTCTTTTCCCTTTTACAGGCTCCTGCATTATAGCCTACTGGAGGTATGGCACATGGCTGGGTGCCATTCACTGTCCCATCTGCAGGCAAATGGTGAGACTTGTAATACATTCTGGACGTATAACTTTTAACCTCAGCTTTTTATATGCCCATGTTTGAACTGCCAGACATACGGGTAGCTGTAAGGATTGCTTGCGCCCGTTATGATACATGCTAAATGATTATCTGTCTGGACACATGTTTGTCGCTTAATCTGAAATACTTAACATTTTCAGTACAATTGTTTTCTGTTGGTTATTTTCACAATTACGAGTTATTCTTTCTAATTGTTCAAATTGTTTCTAATTGTTTAAATCGTTTTATCAATGTAAGTGTGCACCACACATTTCCTCTTTTGGCATCGATATTTGTATGTTAAACATTTCCTCTTTCCTAGGTAACGCTGCTTTTTCCACTATTTCATGAGAACGCCGCTCCTCAGAGGGTCCAGGATGGCGAGGCAGAACCTCAGCTGATATTAAGAGACCTTAACGATTACAACCGCAGGTTCTCAGGCCAGCCAAGATCTGTGAGTATACAGCCAGATACATATTTAGGCTGCAGTAGTTACTGGTTAGCTAAGCATGCATATTTTAAGTTGCTTTAAACCAAAGGTGTCAGCTAAATGCAAAGTAAAGCAATGCTTGATAGCCAACAGTTCTTGAAATAGTACATTTCAAGATGCTAGTGGTGTTTTGAATTGTATTAATATTTCAAAAGCAGTCACTATTCTTCTCAATATTAAAAAACAACAACACATTTCTTATAAATTCCCTGCACACCATGTGTTTCACCATATTTAGAACTTCTTTCAATATTTTCTCTCCTCTTTTCTTCTCAGTACATGGACAGGCTGCGCGATGTGCCCACCCTGCTCCGCCACGCATTTAGGGAGATGTTCTCTATGGGTGGCCTCTTCTGGATGTTTAGAATTCGAATTATTCTCTGCCTAGTGGGAGCGCTCACCTACCTGGCATCGCCGCTCGACATCATCCCCGAGGCGCTTTTCGGTCTGCTGGGATTCATGGACGACTTCTTTGTGATCCTACTTCTCTTTGTGTACATCTCTATCATGTACAGGGAGGTGGTTACACAGAGACTGTATGGTTAGGTGCTCAAAAGACGCCTGTGCTTGGTGCGGGAAGAGCGAACGCAGCAACTACGGGACATGTATTGACTGAATAAAAGGAGAGCAGTTCAAAAAGAAATGCTGGTTCTCTCAGAGAGGTTTGCTTTGAAGCCTGGGATGTGACTTCCTAACTGGAGAGGGATTGACAAACAAGGAACTCTGGATATTGGCTCTGTATATATAATTCTACAGTATGGTTGATAGATCTAATGACATCAAGGCGAAAAAACATCAATTAAAGGGAATGAATGAAGGCATTACAACAAGTTGTTTCAGATAATTGTACATTGTAATTATGGAAACAATTGTGTAACTTAATGTGATCTTTAATTACTGTATTAATGGCAGTGTCTTGATTATATTGCATTTTAAAGTTGGTCGTCAGCGTCCAGAAGGTCGTCTGTGAGCAGATCTAGCGTTTTTAAACCATACTGTGGCTATTACAAGCTACTCTGTCAATGAAACTGTTCATGCACTTAATTAAGTCATCTGTGACTACTATGCATATTCATTCGAATAACAGATTTACATGCATGTGTGAAAATCACTGGATCATGTTACTTCCAACTGTTTACATTTATTGATGAAAATGGAACCTGAATCTGAGCCAACTGACCATGCATAGGACAACTTCAATTTTTCCAAAAGAATCAAAGAGAAATTAAAGGTCATTGAATGTAAGCTCATGGATTTATATGAATGTTGACTTCCCTTGACACTTGGAGATAATATTGAGTTTGGACGTTTGTCTTCTGTACAGGATCCTAATCCGGCTCAGTGAGTGAACAAAGCTTCTCAAATAACACAATTAATGTTTGCTTACCCGTTGGTCAATTAAAAAAATCAATATTTAAAAATGAAATTGACATGTGTACACTATTGATTCAATTCGAATTATTGTGAGTATCTTACACTGTGTTTTTAAGGGAAGTATCATTTCATCCTTGACTATATGGGTGGGATGGATTTATGTTGATTCCCAGTAAAGATGCATTACTGGTTATCAACATTTTTGACATTTGAGGATAGGCTAAAGATTATTTGCCATGCATGCAGAAAAATGAATAGTACATAATGTCTTGCATTTGTAGACATTTATTTTCTGCTTCTTTGCTGCATTTGCTTTCTTAGGGCTCTACTTTCTGAGCAAGCGCTGGCCTTCATGTTCAAGAATAGTAGAAGAAGATTCGGCTGAGAGTGGCTCATATCAAGGATCAACAGTTGACAGTATGATCCATTCAGTTTGTTTGACAGATTCAGATAACAGCAAACAAAGCCATGACTTCCCTCTTGGAATGCCACGTTGTAAGGTGTGGCCCATGCCAAGCTGTGTCATTCCTTTTCACTGTCCTTGCTGATTAGTGTCTCCTCCAGTTTGTCTCTGGGGTGTTGGAGCAACCTCCACCCTTTTGTCTATGTCAAACTAACACATGACAGCAGCGTGTGTTGTGAATGTTCAAGCTGAGAACCAGTTAGGAGAGTCTTACCATGGTGGGAACACATAGCACACTGCTTCAAGAGTTGGTGCTGTGGTGTAATCTGCATCACAATTTCCCAAATTATATTTCTACAATTTTTTTAACCCTAGCGACCTCCGACATATTCCAAGTACACAAGAAAATAGATTTTGTATATATGATGTCAGGATTAGACTTCTCATCTCATTTAAACTGACACCCTAAACAGATTATCTATTTCGGTACATTAATCAAGGATTAGTCAAGGATCAAGGATTTGTTTCCCTTGACAAATATTAAAATGATCTTTTAACAGATGAATCCTAACATGTTTAAATGTTGTGTGTGCCCACATAGCCCTTGCTAATACCTTTTTTCTCTGCTTGTGCTGAGGGTCCCCCGAGCCCCTGAGGGTCTTGGTCCCCATAAATTGTCCTAATGGCAATTTCTTTGTGTTTGTTTATATTTGCAAAAGTGAAGCACAATACACTGAAATCGTTACTGAAGTGGGCCCAAGGCATTTGTATCCAAAATTGAGACTTCTATTATGAAGGCTTCTTTTTGCTCTGTGGATGTATGTCATATCATATATTTTGTATACCTACTTCACATTGTATGTGTCTTTCGCGTAAATGTTTTTCTGTTGATTGGTCCTTTATTAGCACTCCAGACTCCGCCCACCCAGCCCTCCTCTGGCAGACGCCGGAGAGGCGAAGCAGCGCACCCGACTATTGGCCGACGGTTTGAGAGACAGCCGAATGCGAGAGAGACATCGGGAGTACATGAAGCCGACTGTTTAACTTCAGGCTCTGTTTACCACACAAAGTCGGTTCACGTTAGGTAACCATGACCACATCGGGGTCCTTGGATCGAATGGAGCTCTGTGAAAGCCTCTTGACATGGGTAGGTGGACTAATATGAAGTTTGTGGGTTTAATGTCACTGACTGTCAGTTCTCCAGCTCCCCGGCGATGCTAGTAGGTAGCATTCGAGGCTACTGCTAGCTCTATAAGCTAGCGGGGGAAACATTAGCAGGCTAGAGGAAAATGACACGGGCTCACGTTGGTTACGTATGCAGGCCAGCTGTTTGCTGCTTTAGCTGCTGATGTGTTACTTGCTAGCCGCCAGGAAACCATTAACCAAGACTGTAATTTTGGTTCTAGCTCTTTGGTATTTAGCTAGCTCAACTTTACTAACGCCCCATCGTATGTTGTAATGGTCGGATCAGACGTTATAAACGATGGCCTTGATTCAAAGCTTTATTATTGAGCATACAACGCTTTAGCTCGGTGTCTGCTCTGAGGCTGAATTCCTTTCATTGTTGACCAATGTTTCATTGTGGGCGCTTACTCTTCCCTATTGTTACCGATCAGAAATGTAAAATACAGACTAGATTCCCAGACATGGAAGCTACTAACTGGAGAAAAAAAACATCTGAATGAGTGTTCACATGCTACAAATATTAGCATGTTTACATTGTTGTATGCTTTGAGCACCACCAAAAAAGAGGGTCAAAGAAATGCTGATGTGAACATGATATCCAAGCAGATACAGACAGTCACTGTTCTTCTCAGTAGAGATCACAGAACAGAAGAAGAGTGAGATAAACCCAGAAATGTCCTAACTGTGATATAGGCTTATATTCAATGAATATGCAACAATAAGGGTAACTGACATGAGTTACTAGGATATGTAAACAGAAGTGTGAATGCATTGCTCTACACATTACATAGATGTCAGTTGTGTTGGCTGAAAACATTATGTGGTGCTGGTTTTGGTAGGGCAGCAAGTACAAGCAAGCTACCCTCCTCCTGCATAGTCATGTGCTTCCTGACGTGTAATGTAATCACACTTTAAATCCATTTGTTGATTCCCTGAGAGGTAGACTTTTAGCCTCTGTGTTTGATGTGACATTTATGTACTTCACTGTCGCATCCTGCTCTTGTTGTCATAGCTTGGCTTATGTATTCAACAACTCAAATAGTTCTTTCTTCATGTTCCTAGTAATGGTGTGGCTGGCAAACATTTCCCATATACCTGTTAATTGTGAAGTCACAGCATTGCGTGTGACGGATTGTCACTAAAATGCATGAGACTACAGTACCGCCCTACAAAATAGCCCTGGTGATGTCTAGGTAACTGTTACTGCTTGAGGTCAATGCAAAAGGGGGTCATACTGACAAATGCAGAGCCATGTATTGTAATATATTTAGGCACAACTATACAACCACAAATATAACCATATGTCATCCCAATGGCTGCCAATGAACCTTTGATGTGACTTTTGAATTTGTCTGCAGTCAGCCAATGTTAATTTTCATCTGGTTGCTCAGTCTTGGATGTTGTATAATATGTCTAAGAAGATAATGAAATGCAAGTGATCAAATAATGTCTCGTGACGTTGCAGTCACTTGACAAACAATTTAAAAGTTTCCCTTTTCTTCCACTTGAATAGCATTTTATTCCATATTTTATTCATTTCAATTGAGCAAAGCTCTTAGCATGGCCCTAGCGGCATGATCCTGTCATTTGAGTTATAAACACATGGTAAAGTACACCTTTCGTAAGTCTTTCCACAAACTGGTAGGTGTGGGTTTCCTTTTCGGAACTCTGTGCATGTCTGTGTAATCAAGCCAATATTTTCAAGGATGTGATTGTTATTTTTATTGCTCGAGTTCTGTGGCTTATAAAAATGTAACCATTACGAATTTCAGAAAGAAAAATAATCATGGTTACCAGTATTTATTTTCTATTCAGTGGATCTTTGTGTGATCAGCTGCCACAAAATACTTGATATTACATTACTTAATGTGTGTGTATTATCATGGGAAGTACATTTTTATTTTACATGAAGCATTTCCTGACAGTTGGTTTTACAAATTGTCATTTTGCAATAGAGATATAGTGCACTATTCCCATTGTGAACGAGGCTCCTTGAGCTCATTTATGCTGAACTCCATTGGGCTCTTTGCAGATTGCTATGGATGATGTGATCAAAGCAGACTGAATGTAATCTGGCATGGCCATGGAAAATGAGCAAATGTTGCTGAACTAGAACCTGAAAATTCCTCAGATCACATGATGCTTTGTTTCCAGATTCATTGGATTCAATCATTACATTGCAGCTCCACACGTAGTCTTAGGTCTGAGGACCAACAATACTTAGCAGATAAAATACCAAGTTGTTCTGTGATAACCATCCAGTACACAACAAGTATGCATGTGCTGCTTAACCAGTGGTATGCCGTTTCAGTGACCAACATTAACAGCTTCTGGTTCAGTTGGATTAAAACTTTTAAGAAATATTCAAGCCCTGGAGCTTCTAGCAAAACATCTTTAAGAGATGACATGAGCAGCCCTATTTGAGCATCCATAATAATTAAGAGAGAATACAGAAAATATGAGTCCAATCGATGTAGTAATGGTGGTTGGCCCTACTTCCCCTTTACAGTAAGTGCTTTTGCTATTCATATAATCATTATAAGCTGATTGAGAGGTGATCACGATGATATACTGGACATGGGTAGCCCAGAGCTTTCTGTAAAGTGTTCTCAAATTAAATTAGTGTTGATAGCCGAATCACATTACACTGTGGGACACAGGACAATGACCTTTAGCCTGGAGGTTTAGCACAAGGACTTCACTTTGTACAGAAGAATATAGTTTGACATGAGTCATGGCACTGTTTTTACCAAATCATTTTAATGGGTAGCCGTATTTAGCCATCAAATGTTTTATAAAAGACTCATGTCATTTAAAAAGTTTAACATTGTGTTGTTTTTATCTACACTTGAGATAGAAATTAAAAAAAAACATTCTTGCTTCCATAATCATGTTCATTTCAAAATCTTCCAACCCTAATTTAGCGGTGGGAATTTCAGCTAGGTTGACTCTTTAGCCAGTTACCTGTTACCTGGCCATGTCTACATACATCTGATTCCTGATCACCATTCAAGGCATCAAGAGTGACACAAATAACAAACCTCAAAAAGCACAATTCATAAACGTGCCATAATTGAAACGGGGCTAGAAAACAGGGGCTTCTTCCACATAGCCATTGCCATACATTGTCCCACACAGCATAAAGCAACTCATCAGCGCTGCTCCACTGTGGCTGTTCGAGAGAAATCACAGGGGCATACGTTCTGTTTAAAGGCTTTGTAATCCAGTGGTATGTATACCACAGGTTTGTTGACCGAACATGCAGTCAAGCATGTGGAGCTCATGTGGCCATGAGAACCTATTTCTGCTTGGGAACAAAAGCAACAGAGCCCTGCTAAAAGGGGACAAAATACCGTTGTTCAGCCAGTGTACAATATCACACAGATTTGGATGTGTTGACCTCAAGTAGTTGGTTAGATTAAAGAGGACTGATCTGATCTATTCGGCACCAGCAAAAAATAGCTGTTGGTAGTCCAAATTGACATCACACACCAGGCATGTTCCATATCAAGGGCCATCGATTTATTTTGTCCTCAGTTTGGCTTAATAACAGCTTTTAGAGAGCTGTTGTGATGATGCCATGTTGGGACTGTGGGTTGTCTGTGTGTTTTTGATTGATCTTATTTTCTTTCCTTCCACCTCTTTCCTGCTAAGGGAAATGAGGCAGACCAAATGTTGCTGCGGTTGAGAGCCACTAACAAGTTTTCTACCACCATTTCTACCATGACGCTTGAAGTACTATGCCACTCTGGGAGAGACATATTGTGTGTAGTTGCAGTGTCCCACCCTGTGTAATCTGTAATTCGGTGTTGCAGACTTATGCTTACATGTTAATTATAGCGCTTCTGACCAGTCCGAAATGCCGATTTGAGTCAACATTTGTAACAGTTTCATCACGGCTAGATCCATTCTAATATGTATTAAACACTGGATATAAACACAGGAAGGCAGCATGTAACCCTCTCTTCAAAATAATGAAACGTCACAGGACAGGAGGTTTTCTTCATTGCATACATTTGATGTGGTAGTTAACATTTTGAAGGGTTATTGGAGCGGATAAGGTTTTCTCAGTCTCTCACTTGTGAGCGGTGTTATGTAATCAGGGGTATTGTTATGTGTTGGCTCTTGGCCAGTGTTTGGCTTTAGCTACTAGCTCCCTATAGATTGACTAAGAAAAATCATAGCTAACTGGAAAAAAAAGATTAGTAGGAATATGAATAATAATGTAGATATTTTGGGTCAGATGTCATCTGCTTGACAATTCAGTCATCTGAATGTTGTCATACACACAGTCACTCCGCAACAATGTAGGAAGCTTTGATTGAAAGTTACTTATTGAAGATTAGAAGTGAATCAATTTTACATTTGTATATTTGGAATGTTTTTTTTGCTATTGAAATATGTTTTAATAAAGGTATACAAGATTCAGGAATCCACAATAAAAAAATGGTATTAGATTTGATGTCCAACAGCAATATCAAACATTTTGGTTATGTGAATTGATCAAGTGATTGTGTGGATGTTAGGCTCATGTTGCCTTCATGTAATGTGAGATGTGTCCTTAACTGTACAGTGTCAAGTGTCTTCCTGTTTACTGACCTCTGTCTCTGCCAACAATGATAATTAGGCTCTTGGCTAGTTTTCTGTGGCCTAACAAAGTGTTGCGCCATGTCCCAGACCTATGGAAGCTAATGTAGAGCATTGGATCAAGCAAAGTGAATTCACCTCTCCTTTTCAATATGTTTATAAGAGATACTGACATGACGGTGACACAGTAGTCGGAGAAGGTGTTGTTATGACTTGGTTATTTTAAGATTTGTTCTAGAGTCAGTAATTTAATAGCAGTGGAGACAACACCGAGCAGCACATCCAAATATCATTGCCAACCCAACACTTAGTCACAACAACTTTCAATTAGGGTTATGTTAGAAATATTTAAAAAGCGTTGAACAATGTCAATATAATAAATACCAGCTTAAGCTCGACTCATTTCAACCCAGTTAGTGAATACATGCTTCCTAAATAATTATACCTGTGTCCCCCACTCTCCCTCATACTATTTGGCTGAATCTTTTGTTGAGTGCTCTCCCCCCTTAAGCAACGTAAAGAAAAGTGAATTTCAACCTCTACATATGTCTCCTCCTGGAATTCCAACATTCCTGGTCTCAATTTCCCCAACTTTGTCATGTGGACTTTTGGCCTGTAGACTGAAAAACATTCCCTTATGTCTGGGCAACAGACTTTCATCATAGAGGAAACGCTGTAGAGAAGAATATGGAGGATGAAAAGAGAATAATGACACGTCAAGTTAGAAAGAAAACCGCAAAGAAATAATGACGCAAGACAAAACTGAGCAATGAAGATAAGCAGAAAGTGTGAGCTTCCTACTTGTGACTGTATTTACTCATGTCTTCAGGGATACCATTACAATCCAATTGATGTAGCTTTGTCAGGCAAAATGTTGCATTTGATAAATTAATCATTTAATGTTTTTGCATATGACATATATATAATTTGTTCCTGCACCCCGCACTCAACTTGTTTGTGTGTTTGTTGTGTAGATCCAGACATTTGGAGTGGAGGCTTCTTGCAAGACAGTAGAAGAACTGACGGGCGGTGTCGTCATGGCCCAAGTGCTACAGAAAATGTAAGTTTTTGTGGATAAATACGGTTGTATAAGTTTTTATGAAACTTCCTTTTCTTTCATCTTATTTCACATTGTTTATTTACATTTTCCCCCATTCATGTTCAATTATATGACACAATTATACACCAAATTAAATGTGAACCTAATTCGCTAATATGTAAACAAATATAAAAACATTCAGTAGGTCTCCTTCACTGTCAGCTTTTTTATCATTCCATTTCCTAAACTTACAAGTTCTGAAGACTCCTTAAAGATAAAACTACTTTACACATCTAACTCCTATTCTATTGTTTGTCTTCATTTCCAGAGATGCAGTATATTTCAACGACGCTTGGCTTAGTAGAGTCAAGCCAGAGGTTGGGGACAACTGGAGGTTAAAAGTAAGCATAAGCCTTGGTTTCATTGGTTTTTGTGCAAGGTTTAGGTTTGGTGAGAACTGTCTTTTTGTTATATTTTTTCTAATTTGCAATGTATGTTATGTTTCAATCAAGCTTGTGTAAGTTGCATTTGTCTTTCTAATATCCTACATAAATTATCTCTTTTTTCAGATAAGTAATCTAAAGAAAGTTCTGAAAGGAATCCTCGAATTTAACCAGGAGGTAAGCAGAGCCAGTTGTATTTATTTTTGATTTGATCAATGGCAAGCATCCCCATTATGTTAGCAGATGTGTTGCTAGAAGCGAAATATTATAACTGCCGAAACTATATAATCTTCTCTATTATGCATATTATGATTTATTTTGGTTATTAAAACAGCTTTTGTGTTCGTATAGATCCTTGGCCAGCACATTAACGACTTCACGCTCCCAGATGTGAACCTGATTGGAGAACACTCTGACTCGGCAGAGCTTGGGAGGATGCTGCAGCTCATCCTGGGCTGTGCTGTCAACTGTGAACAGAAACAAGGTGCCCATCATATATACTGTGGTATCTGAAAACAATGTTCTCTAATGTCCCTTTGTATTAAAGGGGACCTATCATGCAAAATGCTCTTTTTGATGTTTTGTATACATAAAGATGTGTCCCCGGTGTGTCAGGGAACTCACGCAGCGTCAGAAAATAAAACCCTCGCTCTTTTCCTCCGTACCCAAATCTCTAAAAACGGGGGTACAACGGAGCTGATCCAGATTTGCGTCCGATATGACGTCATATCAGCAATGCTGACCCACAGCACTATCAGAAACGTTGCTATCAGAAACAATGCCCGACTGTTCTGGACGTAATATGGTCGGTGTTTACATTAGCATCGCTAACACTCAGAGTTAACCTGTACTGAGAGAGCATGTGTGTGAAGAAGCAGGAAATAAAAAGGAACTCACCTTGTGGTATAACCGGCAAGAGATAAAGCCTTTGAGCTCCATACTGCTTCAGAAATAATCCTTGATCTAATAATCCTTGCGTTTCATCACCACAGCATTTTAGACAGCATCTGCCAGGTCCCGCATGAGCCGGCATAGATGAGAGTAACACATGCGTCACTTCCGGGCAAAAAGTACGGCTCCGTCCACTTTTGCGGGTGAACAAAGCTATCATTTGAATAGCGGTCGATGTAAATTCTGAAGTTTTTGCCAATCCGATCAGAAATGTAAGAAAACCGTGGATTTTTGGATCTTCAAAGAGCCCGATTACAATGGCCAGACAGGCAAACAATTACATTAAATCATTGGAAATCGACGATCGAGCTCGATATATGGTTAAATATAGCAGTAGGCTATCGATGGACAGACTGGACTTCAACATTAGCTTCCATGGTGATAGAACAGGACTTATCATCTGTACAACAGAGTAACTGAACTCTTCTTGAGGAGAGAAAGGAGGAGGGATTTGGTGTAGAGATAATAAAACGTATTGGTGAGTATAGGCTATAATGACTTTAATTTAAAAAGATTATATTTTCTTGTAATTTTGTTTAGTACATTTTGATGCATTTCTGCCAGAGATGATGTGTGTGGCTGCAGTGAAAAGACACTTATGCATTATGTTATTTGGGTTTCTTCCTTTAGTAATGGCATTCATTTTGCTACATTAGATACCCGTCTGTGATGCAACACCCTGTTATACTGTGTTTCTGTATAATATGAATGGTTTCTATGGCCGTGACGTCATAATGATGGTATTAAGAGTTGGATTTATTCAGGTAGGACACTACTGAAGGCCTAGGTGTGAAATACATGGCCCGCTACTGTTAAGTATAGCAAGGTGCTCACAAGTATAGTACTGTACAAATGTGTGTATGCATGTGTTGTGCAGCAAATAGGTTTGTAGTATAAATAAGTTCCATCCAAATCATCTCTCTGTTTTTAAACCAAACTAAAGCTCTCAGATGTGTAGTTTTCTGCAACAACAAAAACTGAGGTTAGACAACCCCTCCATCTCCCCGAGCAGACACACACACACACACTCTCTCTCTCTCTCTCTCTCTCTCTAACACACTCTCTCTCTCTAACACACGTTTCACTGCTATTTCAACCCCCATCTATTGTTCAGACAGCCCCCCTCCAGCTATGGGACAGTGAAGACTGAGAGATCAGGCTTTAAAGCTACTGTACAGTATCATCTAGCTACTCTCACATTTTTCACACACACACACCCACACACACACACACACAAAATGAACCATGGGGCTGTATTTATTAGGCCATGTGAAATGGGTGAATATGAAACACTCGGTCTCGTCTTTGTTCATTCTTACATCGTCTCTATAATAGTAAATGGCTTATTGGTTAAGTATGTAGTAGTAACAAATAGTTAGACCACATTTCCCTTCATTTACTTCCTTTCTTATTCATACGTATGATCAGCTATTAGCTAATTTTAGAGATCAGAGAAAGATTTGTTTTGGTTTTTAAATTAGTAATAACTTATAATTAGATTTTTTTTTTTATTGTTTTGTTTTAGAATGTCAAAAGTAGTGAGAATTGGCTTAAAATGCCTTCAGATTGCTTTCCTGTCTGACACTGTTTAAAAAATAAAAGTATCTACTTTACTCTCACATAAGAGAAAGCAGTGCACAAATGTACTGTAACGAATCAATGTTGACATAAAACCATTAAGTAGTTATTAGAAAAGTGGCTGATTAATTTCCTGGCCATCAAATAATCAGCCGCAGTTCTGTATCCTATATATTTTAAAAACAAAGACTGATAATGGTCATAAAGAAACAACTCTTAAGATGAAGCCGGAAGCCAAAAAGAAATCCATTCTGAAAACACTCATTTAACTGTACAAGAAATGTATTCCAGTGTAGCTGCACAATGTGTGTCATATCAATGAGTTGTACTCCATACACCATGCCCCATTGTTACGATATCCCATCTTACTGTACACAACAGTCAAAGTTGTATTCTTTCTTTCTGATTTTTGTCATTTTTCCGACTGCAAACCATAGAAGCCCTAACAAAGAGAGGAAGCCCTGCTGCTCCCAACAAGAATCAATAGAGAGCCATTGGGCTGTCTGCCATTGACAGGCTTCTGTCTTGTGCTGCTGCCAGTGAGCGCTCCGTGCTAATGCTGCTATTTGGAACCACTATATAGACAATCTATTGATGCTTTATTGTGTCTGCTGCATGCTCACTATTCTTTTATCCCACACACAGCCTGATGTAGAGTTCAGGCCACACAGAGAAGAGGATATGTTAATGACAGGGTCAATATGAGCACGCCCAGCACTACTGTCATTAGGAGGGGGGTTGGAGAACAGTGGCTGCCTAAAGGTAGGTGTTAAGGAGAAGCAACATATACAGAGGATGGTGGGGGATGATGTCTATAATGGATCTGCCATTAACAGGGATTTCAATCCCCCAATACATCTCAGTTATAGGTACATCTTCATTGTTGCTAATGTGGGGTTTGGAGGAGTGAAACCGAATATATTGGTTTTGAGAGGAATTTGATTGATTGACTGCAAAAGTGGTAAAAAAAAACAGATCTAATGTTAGAGCTTTGAGAATGTGTGTTGTTTCTTTTGTACTTTCATTGCGTCTTAAGTGATTTATTTTTTAAATCAAAGAAATTAGAAAATAGAGAATTCAATCATAAGCAAATAATTAAGGGCTGCAAATAATGCTTATTTTTGTTTAGACATGAATCCAGTGTTGTCATGATTTACCCATGATTACATACAGTATGGTATAAAAGGGCAGAAAGTAAATTAACTCATATTTTTCCACGGCAGGCAAATGCCAAAATGTTTACATGAACAAAAACGAGTGTCAAAGCATCACAGGGGAATTTATTCTTAATTTGGTTCAACTCTAATTGAAAGCATGTTGCATTCATCAAAATATGACTTAATATCTGTGCTAAAACTTGAACAATACTAGTATTATTGGTGGAAATGCATTCCTGACTTTTAACATCTAACCCAATCTTTCCAAAAAAAAGAATCTCTAAAATGGATGGCTATATTCAAAGAAGTCAATTGAAAGTATGTAGATTAACTGTGAACAGAAAGCAGCCTAGAGCTCCTTTAGGCATTGCTCAGGCTCTGCACTTTCCCTCATCACCTCATACCTCAAAGACCGCACCTACAGGGTTACTTGGAGAGGGTCCGAGTCCGACCCTTGTCAATTAACTACAGGGGTCCCTCAGGGCTCTGTTCTTGGGTCCCCTCCTCTTCTCCTTGTACACAAACTGAACATACAAGAATACTGTACATATAATAACAACGACATAGGGTATATTATATTCATACAACAAGGTATACAACAGAGACAACACACAATTCTGGTCCTTTCCCCGCTCAGAGACCAAAAAACAAGAAAGTACACAAAGCAATACATACATGCTGTCTACTGACATACAAACGTGGATACTGCATAACACACACATACAAACACACATATGACAAGACTGACTGCTTTTCTTCCGCGATTGACACCACATATTATGGGATCTAATACACTTACGGGACAGCTCAGAATTACACCACACAAACAGAAGGACTGGGGTGATAAGACACCTAGTAACAAACTGTAACACAAATACCACATGCAAAATCAGCTGACTACAACACCGCTGGCTGCAAGAGAGTCACTTTTCACAATCAGGAGTAACTCCACACAGGAGGACATGACAACAGAAAGACAGCACATACACACACACTCCGTCCCCATCTCATGCGTAGACTCAACTGGAAACTCCCCCTCCTGGCTTGGTCCTAAAACAACACAACCCAGAAAAAAACACAAGCAGAACATACCACAAAATGCATCTGCTCGAAACTGGCTTACACCAACCATTAAACTCACACTAAAACAAACATAAAACAACGGCATACCATTATATAATACACCTGAGCACACGAGTAACTGCTTAGAATCCACTTCAAGAGCACTGGTACTTGCCTACCATGCTGGGCGAATGGATGCTGCCCCTTCCTACATCCAGGAGAAAAAAAAAAAAAAAAAAAAAAAACATGGTTAAACTGTAGCACCCCAATGCACGCGTGCACTCCGCTCAAGGCCCCAAACAGCTCCGCTGCACCCATTGATCGCGAAGGGGGACGCCAAGTTCGCCATCAGCAAAAACACGTGGGTTTGCTATCCTGAGCCCTCCAAATGGTGGAATGAGCTCGCCCATTGACTCAGGAACAGCAGATAGCATGACACACTCTTCCGGGGCCCAGACTGAAAACTCATCTCCTTCGACTCCCAGTTCGAGCGATAAGAACTATAAGCAAAGCAGCTTAATATACTAATAAAGGACTGGCTTAATCTAAAGTCAGTGAGTAGCGCACTCTGACATTTTTTACCCCTCTATGAAACCTGATATTACTTTATATGATTCTGTTTCTTCAAGTTTGTTATTTTGTTGTCGATACGCACCTTAATTGTAAGTCGGGCTTTGGATGAAAAAAAAGCCCGTCAGCTAAATGCAATGTAATGTAATGCTCACCCCAGTTTGCTCAGAGGCGGAGCGAGAGTGTTGGCCAAAGATTCTGTCAAGATCCGTGGTGGTCTGACGGCTTCGTGGTTTTAAAAAATAGTGTAGATGCCTGTCCGTTTGGGGCCTTCAAAGCGGGCACAACAATAAAACCCAAAGTATGAATTTTCGATTGATGTCACCCTGGGCCCGCGTTAAGATCTCTGTTGGGCCGGTTGGATAGCTAAAAAATGGTCACAAAAGCTTATGTTACCATGCCGCGGGGCAATAGAAGTGTAAGCAAAATATATTATAAGGTGCCAGCAAGTCAGGATATGCTGGGCCTCTGCTGATGCCATTTACATTTCTCCTGCTTCGGGTGAATACTCAAGCCTTAGTATGGAAGTGAACTTTTCCAAGCTCACGTAATGGGGCACCCAATCCCTACACTAAAACTCTTTAGCCGCCACATTTGGCTTTCCCAACTCTTTTCGATCTTGGTTTGAAAACATTTGTTATTTGATTGCCCATCAAATTCTTATGTTGATTGTCTCGAGGGCAACATTTTTTATTTTTCTCTTGAAAGCTCCCTTGCTTTATTATTATTATGTATATTATTTTGAATGGCCATAATGCATTATTCTGCAAATTGGAAGTGAAAGGAAACAATGAGGGCATAGGTTAATGACATGGAACACAATTTAGAAATGGTAAACATTGGTTCGTTCATGGTTTTGATTCTTTTAACCGCTGACTCTCCAAGATGCCCCAAAGCTCTCTTTCTAAGCCCAGCTGTGCAAAATGAAAAATGAAATGTCTTCACCCCTAAACCTGAGCCCTCTTTCCTGAAATTCCACTAGCATAAATCCAAAAAGACGATCTGGCCAAAACAATCGCAAGTTATTTTGCTAATCCCCATTACTACTGAAAATTCCGCATCCCAAGTTTAAAGTTNATTTATGGTATTACTTTCACATATTTCTCTCCATTCTTCCTTCTGCCAACGGTGCCGCAGTTTCTCGTCTCTCCCGTTTTTGTGCGTACGCATGGGTCAGAGTTTTCCCGTCAAGTTAGTTTTTTATAAATTGCAAACATTGCTTAGAAACTGGCGTACGACATATTTTGAGCATACGCACCGTTTATAAATGAGGCCCCAGACCTTTTCTGCCTATCCCCATCTGAACTTTCAAGGGGAGACATTTGTAAATATCTTCTTGGATTGGCTCGAATTTGCAATGTATACTTGCCTCTGAACCAAATGCTCTTTCCCTGTTTCTCATCATCACTGAGATAATGTGACTGCACACTGCTAAAGCAGCCTCCCTCTCCTCTGTCATCATCCTTCTGGACCTGTCTGCTGCATTCGACACGGTGAACCATCAGATCCTCCTTCGCACTCTCCAAGAACTTGGAGTTTCAGGCACAGCACTTTCCCTCCTCACCTCATACCTCAAAGACCGCACCTACAGGGTTACTTGGAGAGGGTCCGAGTCCGACCCTTGTCAATTAACTACAGGGGTCCCTCAGGGCTCTGTTCTTGGTCCCCTCCTCTTCTCCTTGTACACAAACTCCCTCGGATCTGTCATTAGCCCGCATGGTTTTTCATACCACTGCTACGCTGACGACACCCAATTAATTCTGTCCTTTCCCCGCTCAGAGACCCAGGTCGTCGCACGCATCTCTGCTTGCCTAGCAGACATCTCTCGGTGGATGTCTGCTCATCACCTCAAGCTCAACCTTGACAAGACTGAACTGCTTTTCCTTCCGGGAAAAGATTGTCCCACTCTTGACCTAACAATCAACATCGGCACCTCTGTTGTTTCCCCGACTCAGACTGCAAGGAATCTGGGTGTGATCCTAGATAACAAACTGTCCTTCACTGCAAACATTGCTGCTACAACCCGCTGCTGCAGATACACGCTTTA